TTTCAAGGTGGGAAGTTGCTGCAATGTGTGCAGCTACCTCACATACAACCTCCAGGCACGGGAATTACTCCTCTAGCGTGGCTGAGCCCGACCTTTGCCTTTAAATAGCATAAGTTATCGAATCCGCGAAGCAGTGTATCAATTCAGAGTAACGGGGCCATTGACGGGGTAATGACCATATTGCAAATTACAAAGAAAAAAAGATGCCACACACATACAATGCGCTCTCGTAAATGTACTAATAACGATCTCATCGACCACTGAATTCCCATTTAAACTCATATTTCTCAATTTTAATTCAATTTTTCATCCAATCTATTCGAGAAACTAATTCGCGACCGCGAAGAAAGGGAAACACTAATCATTTTCAAGAAACCCCGTTCGGGAAGGGCTTCTGTTTTGTTTTGGTCAACGTTTAGTATCTTTCTCCTAAGAAACGGAGATAAGAGTCAACACCAATTAATTTCCGTGCAATTTATGACCACAATTGAGTGACCTGCCAAATCATCTTTTCGTAAAAGAAAATCATAAGAAACCATAGGACGCAATAAGCACGCGAACCTCAAAACCTTCCGCTCGAATCCATTCTGACCGCTGATGAGATCCACTTTCCTTTTTCACATGTCCAACCCGAAAGTGGGGAGAATGGGAAATTCTGTGCCTTCGTATTTTTTTTATTATACCAGATTAGTCCCCCGTCAACCGCCGGGACCTTCCTTTCCTGCGCAAGCTTTCTATCCTCCGCTATGGTCCCCTTCCTCCTGTGACACCAACACCTCCTGGAAGTGACGCGTATGCAACACAATGGTGTTTCAAACAGTAGAAGGGACACAATCATGATATGACGGTAGATTTTTCGCTTCCCTTCCTCATCCTCCCTTCCTCTCTCCACTGCCCTCCAGCTGCCACTGCAGCACCATGTGGAATGAACGGAAGTGTGCTAAGCAGGTGTTTATATAGCCCTAAGAGTGTTATCACAACTATCCTGCTACAAAACATTGATATCTCAAATCCTGTAAGCTACCCGATTTGTTAGCGGTTTGTTTATCCCATGAGCTTCCTTCTCACTCACTTCATTTTGCGGACGGACACACATACATACACACACACACACACACATACAGATACACAAACCGACACACAAAGTTAGCGCTTTATAAAATAGAAGGATAACTCAAAGATGGCATTCTAGGAGTATGTAGAAGAACTGTACATTTATTTCTTCTTCACAGTTTGGGTAAGTGGTAAGATGTTAAATTAACAGGATTAAATGCAATATAGATAGAATAAAATTGTGTTTTGCGGAATGAAGCATCATTTTATTTCTGCTACTACTTTTTTTTGGTGGGCAACAGGAACTAGTGAATTCAGAAGCACTAATAATGGGAATCAATCTCTCTTCGTGGTGCGCCACCACTCGCTCTCTCATTCATAATCGCCATTTTACTGCTTATTTGCGCTGCAATTGTTTTCGAGTGTTAAAAGTTCACCAGAAACCAACTAGCAGCAATTAGTACGCGACTCAACCCTCCGCTCGAGCCATTCTGCCATTTCTTATCTTCCCTGACGAGTTTTGTACTAATTGACTGTAAAGTTCCAAGATTATTCTGAGAGGAGTCATTTAAAGATCATGACTGTTGTAGCGGTGCAACTTGCCAGTGCCCCATCTGGACTTAAGAACCATACTTATGAAGTGGTATGCCTGGGCTTACAAGAAATTTCCTCACTGAAGTTTCTCCTTGATCCCAGATTCTGATAGTTATGCTCTGTGATGAACGTGCCCGGCAGTGCAACGGAATCCGAGTCTTTTTTGTGGCCTCCGAACATTAGACCTCTTTTGGCATCTTTATAGATAAAAAGGATAAAGCATTTGCCGTTGATCAATCCCTTTTTGGGATGCGGCACGCATTCTACTTCCATTTGTACATTCGTAGTGGCGTTTGAATGCGATGTGGCCTATACAATGACTTGCGGGGGCCAGCCGATGTACAAGTCAGTGTTTTATCCTCCCAGACAAGTCTGGTACCAATTAACCGACCCCGGAGGGATGGAAGGCTTGGTTGGCCCGGGCGACTCACGACCCAGGATTTGATCCCCGGACCGCTCGCGTGGTAAGCGTGCCACTTGCCACTACACCACTTCCGCCCCTTTGGCATCTTTAGGGTTGAATAATAATCATTTAGCTTCCAAGAAGGTGTGAATTATACTCTGCTCGTGTTCAATAGTCGCCGTCAAAGTTTGAGTTACTAAAATAGAGCGGTATAATAATTTTTAAGCAACTTTCACTAAAGTATTAGTTACCGGCGGTGTCGATCAATCGAAAGCACGGTTGTTCTCGCGTCTCAGTGGCTCACCTTGAGCCGCCGAGAACAACCGTGCTGAAATTGTGTCAAGCGTAGAGTGGTTGTTACCAAGTTCAACCCTCGGCCTTACAGTACTTCAATGTTGGCGATTAGCGATAGTGCGATCAGTCTACGTGAAAAATATAATATATAATATATAATATTAATATATATAATATAATATAATATAATATATAATATAATATTATATATATAATATAATAATAATAAATATAATAATAATAATATAATATAATAATAATATATAATATAATAATATATAATATAATAAATATAATATATATATAATATAACTAAAAGCATTTCCTGATTTGCACACGGCGCACTCTTTAGTCGTCAAAATTGAGGTGCATAGGCATATTAGCTTCTCACCCCTACACTAGACTACTAGTTGTTAAGAGCAGATCTTGTCAAAGTGTTGCATACAATCCAGATATCACCTGATCGCCTACTCGCCTAATCGCCTACTCGCCTGATCGCCTACTCGCCTAATCGCCTAATCGCCTACTCGCCTATCGCCTAATCGCCTACTCGCCTAATCGCCTACTCGCCTGATCGATACGTATCCTTTGCTCACCGCCTGATCGCCTACTCGCCTACTCGCCTAATCGCCTACTCGCCTACTCGCCTAATCGCCTAATCGATCTGTATACTTTTCATTTTGAATCATCGCCTAATCGCCTAATCGCCTAATCGCACGCACGATCGCCAACTATGAACGCTCCATTACAGTACTTCATTGTTAAGCTCGAAAAAGTGAGCGAGCGTGCTTATCAGAGACGCACGTTCTCTCCGTTCATTTGAGGGTCTTCGCCCGTGCGTCATGGTCACTCGCTCCTCATCCCCTTCCTTTCCTGTATTCAAAATCAGAAAAATCCAAGCATAAGCTGAGAGAAATTCTTTTTTTTTCGAAGGGGTAGAAAGCCTGTTGTTCCAATCATGCTTGAAATATTTCGAAGATAAAGGCTTAACATAAGGAGTTGGGAATTGTGAATCGGTTTTAAGGTGATGGAGTGTTTTTTATTGTTCATGAAAAGTTAACAAGGCAACTGTGCAATTTTCTTTTGATAGCTGGTTTGTCACTTTTTAGTTATTTGATACAGTTGCTGGTATCGTTGCGATCTCTTCCACTTTAAGATTCGGCAAGCGGTCAGTGGCAGAAGTCCCCAACGCCAGGGAACCCCGAGTGGAAGTGTTTCACTGGCTGAGCAGTTCATTCGATTTCTGGAGAACGAGTCCGAGTCGGCAAGTACGGCTCCACATCTTCCTGTGGCACCGCGAGGACCTGCTCCAGGACCTTCTATCGCGCCACCGCCTATTGCCTCTACTGCGTCACAACCAAATAGTCTTGATGCGGTGTTGAAGTGAAGCACAATAGCATAACATAGCCTTATGAAATTCGGATCATATAACAGGTGGGGAGACGAGTCGTTTTGCACAATGCGCTGTAACGAGTGAGAGCATTGTGGTAGCCACGGATAAAATTCTATTGTACTCATTTGGCACAAGAGATTTTATTGATTTTTATTCGTTTTTAGTGTGTTTCATCACAGACATGTGGAAGTCGATAGAACAATTTCTAAATCCAACAACACGATTTTCGGATACCAGTCGACGTAGAGCGGTAAAAATGAAACGATATAGAACATTAAAACGGCATCGCGAATAGAAAAAAAAACTGAATATTATCATATATCTAAAACAACAGAGACCTCGTAACACACTGAATGAGGGAGAGCGAAGATCATTTACAAGACTGAGAAAGTAGCTGTACACGAAGCTCGGGCAGAGCGGAGACCTAGCTGCCAACCGTAGGAGGCGCCAGGAGGAATGGACTACGGTACTCGATCTCGGTCGCACCCACCACAGACCTGAACTCGTTTTACGTTGAAACGAACTGCAGCATGGTAACACCAGAAATAGATCAAAAGGGTAAGCACTGTTGTTCTGTTCTGTTTTTGTAGGTTTTTTGTATTACACCATGACAAGAAAATCAAAACTCGTTGTTTCAGCACTAATAATTCGAGGTGTAACAACACACCCTTTAACATTAACAGGTGGCTGCTTTGCGATCGGATGATCACCAGTTCGGGCTTCCTCCTCGCTTGACAAAGCGGGATAAATTTGGGTAGCCATAGGCGGAGAAACCCAATCCGTAGAGGAATTCGACTCCGATGGCGACCCACTAGCCTCTCGCCACTCATCTGATGCTGGTACAGCTCCATACTCCTGAAAATCACAGTATTACTTGCCGCAAATTCTGATCGTGCTATGTTTACTTATTTGCTCTACTCAGGCATTTTCATCCTACTTCAACGTACCTTAGTCGAAATGAGGGTCGATGGGTCCACTCTGCCCGCTAATCCGTTTCCCGACTGAGTAGTAACGGGAGGATCGGATGATATCCTTGCGATGGGCATGTGATTACTATCTGAGCCGACATCCTGTTCAGGACTTTTAGCATCAGGAGGGTTATCACCACTTGCCAACCATCGCCGCTCACAGTCCTCTTCTGCGGCACGGCTCCAAGAAGGAACTCGTTTGGGATGCACATCGCATTGATCCTGCCGAGAATGAAGACGAGCGTGGAAAGACCTGCACGATCAAGTACTTTAAGAATTACAGAAGAATAATAGTTTCAAATGAAACATAACGATGAAGCAACCACTTACACTGAAGCATTCTGAAGAAAATCGTCGGAGAAAGGATCACTGGGGCTGGGAACGCGAGGAACATCCCAACATTGAAACCGGTCAAACAACACCCGTCCTCCCCTTCCAAGCCTTCGACGCGCCAAACCAATCCGACGAATAACACCGTCGCAACGGGGAAGATACGTCTCGTACAAATGCCTCGACTTGGGGATCTTAAAAATATAGCGAGTTTAAAATATGATCCAAGAAAGCAAAGGTTTGGAATGGAAAGCAGTGCTAATACCTTTGAAGGCAAGTGGTCCTCAAGCGGATTGCTATCCGCAAGAATAGGGCCTCGGTACAGGCATCCCCTCCGTCGCTTGAAAACGAATGGGCCGTCCCGATCCTCTTCAGAAGCCGCTGATAGATCAACTTCAGCAACCGGTGAAACGCCAGATGGTGCGAAAACAGAGGGAGGGCGATTCCAAACTTCAGCATTCTTTTTCAGCCATGCCTTAGAAAATATCATGTTAGAAATGGGTCGAAATTAAATGTTTTGCTATTGAAAGGACAATCATCAAACTGGTAATACCTTGCTTGGAACCTCACGATCAACACTGGCAGCAACCGTTCGAATCTTCCGCCGTTTTGCTTTTTTCTTTAATAAAGCGTCATCCTGAAACACGGCCTGGTTTAGTGATGTTCTTACAATAACAACCTTCGGCATTAAAAAAAGGATACCAACCTCAGACTTCGCGACACCATTCGCAACTCCGCTCGATGAAAGTTTAGTAGACTCTCTGATCTTGGCAATAAACTGGTTATAAATATTTGATCCAAAATCGAGTAATCCCATTCGGTGAGCAAGAATTTCCGAATCAAGATCTATCAGCGCTATTTTCGTCTTCTCTCGCCTCTTCACCATATCGAACAGTGTAACGGTCTTTCGGAGATCGTGGCCTAGTTTGAGTACCTAAATCAATGCAGACTGAAAATATAGCCAAGCAACCCAATCAAAACAAGAAGAACAAATGAGGGATAAAATTTGATTAGCACCTTCTCGTAGGAATCCTCATCATTTTTCCTGTTCTTTCGCGTTTGCATCTTCTCAGCCCGTCTTCTAAAGGCCACGTACGGGTTCACTCCACCTTGTTGGTCCTAAATTCACTTTTTGCTAATAATTACCAAAGAATCTCAAAAGGAAACAAACAAATATTTCCCGGAATGTTAATTACTAATAATATGCGTTTACAGCCCAAAGATGGCATCCCTCTATACGTTCATACGACGCACCTTCCGACATTCTGTTCGGACGCGAGGTATTAATCCTCCAACCCCCAGTTGCAGTGACCTTACGGCTGAGCTTTGTCCTCGTTTCGACAGCCAGTAGTCATACACATCATCAACGACGGCGCCGTCGAACGCTTCAACGTTTGTCATGAGAAAATGAGGGTGTAAAAAATAACGAAAGAAGAACATAAACGATCATAAATGACTGCATAAAAAGTAAATGAAGACAGAAGTAAAATATAAACGAAGCGTAACCAACTATGGAAAAAAAAACACGAAAAAAGAAAAGATACCTAAAAGAGCCGATCTTGCTGTATCAGGCAAGCAAATATTGTTATCAGAAGATTTCGCTTCAAGCGTATCAAATATTCGCTCTAAAGCCCTCGGATCAATATGTGGCCTCTCAGCGAGCCAGCGCTCGTCCTCAGAATCGACGTCGTACTCAGCTTCCTCTTTGTCAAGAGCCAACCAAGCTTAAAAAACATGTTCTAGTTATAACCAAGCACAGACAAATTGGGGAAATACCTTGCACTTTGATGAGGCTATTCTTTGGAGGAGGAGGCTGAACCGGATATATCTCGTCATAGCGTTTGGGATCAACAGGGAATACTTTCGGGGTCGGAATGACATGATTATCGACACGAACTCCGGAGGTGCTCGCCTGTTGAGCGAGGATCGCATCTTGAAGGTGAGACTCCTAAAAATGCTCATTATCCAACGAAATCTCGCTTCACTGCACTTAAATGCAGCGCCAGGAGTAATCATTGCTGGGCGATCGATACGCGCACACCGCGTAAGTTCGCAGTTGTTTACGCTGACTTGGCGCAAAACCAAAATAAGCATTCACGAATACTCTACATCTAACGCTCAATTCTGCTTAAGTAGAACTATATACTATTTCGTTGGTGACCAATCACTCAAAAAAGCAAAGACCTGACATCTCAAGGCAATTATTCAATGATATCAACATGATGTGTCTAATGTAAAGCCCACTAAGGTTTGATTGTTCGTATTCAGAAAGAATTAAATCGAAATCCAGTACGCGTAGTGGGTAACAGGTTGCGTGAACAAAGAATCGATAATGCGGGCGACAGCCATGCTGCGACTCACCATCTCCTCCTCCTTCTCCATACCGGTCGGCATCTGAGCCACTGCCCGAGCAATTGGAGCACATTCGGACAGATCCGGGAGTTCTGCGGCGAAGAACACACACATTCCTTTGTTGGCATCGAGATTTCTGGCACGAAACGACAACTTCGACGTGGTGGCCATTTTGGTGTACTCCCGCAATGTAACTACGGAAATAGCGTGCGGCAACTCCGCCGCGCGTCCTGGAGTAGTAGAATGAATGAATAGGAATCATCCGCCGTCTACGGCGTCCATGAAGGTGTGGCGAAAACGCGAAATCCTGAAGGCAGGACGATGGTGCAGCAGACAAGGGAGGGCGCCTAGCCAACTATCGACTAGGTCTTGCGGCTGCGGGGAGCCACGTAGGCACGCAAACACGCGTCGCAGGCGACGCGCGGGCGGTCGCTGAAGCGGCGCGGCTCGCGAGCGCGGCCAGTGCCCTTCCGCCGACTCAACCACGACCCGGGACCCGTCATAGTTGCTACTGCGATCTACGGCGCCTAATGTGCCAATCATTAAGTCGCTTCACCGTTGATTCTGCTCTTCTGAGGTTTACACGTCTTCGCACATCATTATATTAGACTGGAAATCTCGTATACTGCCCATTACAAGTGATGGAGTGTTGAGATTCTTATTACGTCTGGGCTTGGGCAATTCTTAAATTGCCATTACATAGTAGTACTTTTGTGTGTGTGTGATTGAGTAATTACTTCTAGTTTTCTTTTCTTTGTTTTCTTTCGTAATTTGGCAAAAGTGTACGATTGCACTATTGACGTTCCGGTCAAAAAAAAATTCTTTGAAACCTGGCTCATGGGGGATTTTTCAGTACCCTGAGCATGAAAATGGCATCCAATCTAGATGTTAACGCCCTTCGACACAATTTCGCACCAATTCGGCGCAACAATTTTTTCACCAAATTCGGTAACAAAAAACTTATGGATCGGGGTTATTTAGCTTCCTAGTCGCGAATATGACCTTCGCTGTAGCGCTGGCGCCATTTTGACGCAATTTGGAGTCAAATCGGCAACAGTGCCGGCGAAAGTTGAAACCCATACTGTAGGATATGGAAATGATCACAGGAATGAAGTTGGTCAACAATCGATACAAATGCAAATTGGGCCTTTTTGAAGCCGTAGATGCGCTACAGGAAAGGTTAGGACACAGGTCTAACGCCTACTATTGATGTCCTGTTTCATCCTCTGGCACAATAGCGATACCTTAACTACTACGCTTTCCTTTTTACCCGTTGATTTCCTAAATCTCCATCTAAGCCCTCATAAATCATCTTTCAAAAGTTGAGCTTTCGCAAAATGCCAAGAGCCTTATTTTTCCAAAGATCTCTAGCAACAGTGTCAACGATTCGAGTAGCTGATTATATGAAACGGTGCAGGTGTGGCCTGGTAAGAGGAACTTTTTGGCGAGTAAAAAAACTATCCACTGTCCAACAGGAGTGAGATAGAGTAGGTCGTATTTAGCTGAAAGCTGACAGACGCCACGGAAAAGAAAGGAGTGCAGCCGATTAATTGAAAGCCAGACTAGGCGTAATACCTCCTTGTTTTCTCGTGTTTAGTTCTGTTAGGGCGAGATCGTCAAAGAAGATGTCCTCTGCTAATAACCTCAAATCTATCCGAAGGGTCGAAATTGGTGGTTGAATTCGTTCAATTTCTCCCGTCATCCCAGTTCTCTTTAAGGCTTTATTGTGTGAAAGGCGTGTGATTTTCGCTCGTCTATGATCGTAGGAATCTTCATGAACGCCATTAAAAATCAAGAGTCGTATTCAATCCTTCCCCCAGGGAGAAGCGTCCCCCCTCTGATTCAATCCTCGGGGAGACAAAAAAGGGTTGCGTCATAGGACCGCCACACCCCAGTGTGTTTCTATCTGCCAGACAGTTAGAGCAGCGAGCAGCGCGGGAAAAGAGTGCTTCAATCAGTGGAGGGTAGTCGCGCTGCTCTAACTGTCTGGCAGATAGAAACACAGAGGTATGGCGGTCCTATGACGCAACCCTTTTTTGTCCCCCGAGGATTGAATCAGAGGGGGACCCACATCCCACTGGGGAAAGGACTGAATACGGCCCCAATTATTGCGCCTGAAACCAAAGAATGCTGAAGGAGTGCTGTGTACTATTCGTCGATATAACATAAAATATATATAACAGAAAAATACGCAATACTTAAACTCCAAAAATTCTTTTTTTTTTCATTTTTGAAGAATATTGCCACTTATTGCTGTGAAGCGTCTAGCCAGCAGCGTAAAGCGTCGAAGAGAAGGATGATTTCTCAGTCTGCAGCGTGACCTTGCATAAATAACGATGAAAACACATGATGCCTTGCAACTCAGATCGATAGCATCTCATGATTAGCATTCCAGTCATAAATCTGCGTGCGCCAACGTCATTTACGCCACATGATGCCACTATTTATGTACCGCTTTTTGAATATTGTAAGCACGGAAACGCTGATGCCCTTGTTGGAAATGTTTCCCTCTATGGTAGCTCAAATATTCCGTTCCAAAATATATCGATACCCTCATAAATAAAAACTATAATTTTTATTCCTTCGCTCGCTCTATCGGTCATTTCGTTGTGCCCCTACATGCGTACATTTTCTTGGCTCAGTTCAATGCAATATGTTGGTCCACATTCAGTAGACCTTGTTTTTCGTTTTTGAATTCGGTATGGTTTCTTCACCTGCGTTTGTTTTGAGCTACTTTCCTACACACCATGTGCTCTCTGGCGGAAGTCTTTTTAATTGGTTGCGTAAAATACTTGATGACAGCGGAAAACCTGTTTTGTTCCACTCAGGTGCTGAAGTTTTTGATTTCGTCCTTCTACTTCAGAACCAGTTGCTGCAGTTTTACGATAAGAACAGCGGCTTTGACCTCGAGGAGTTTTCTGTGAACCCCTTTTTGCTACTTCTGGGCATTCAGCGGTTCCTCTCCGTTCGATTTTTTTCGAATATAACTTATTCGAAACCTTCAACTCATGGAGAGTTGCTTCTACTATTGGCTAGTGCAGTCTTTATTTTTTTCAAGTTTCGATTTCATGCAGTCCTTTTTTACCTGCACCGATTGTGACTCATCACTCGGTTTCTACATGTCTGCGCCAGTCCTGAATTTTTTTTGCAGAGTGCCGTGTTGTTGATCAGCTCTTTCGCGTTAAATGGCTGAACCATAAGTCGTGAGACATTCAACCCCTCTACCGAAAGCGCTGCTTCGTCACTCGTCTGCCTTTTTGTCGATTTCTGCTATTCTTTTCACGATGTTTTTTGTTTGAGCTTGAGCTCCATTGTTGTCATCTTATTTCATGGAACGCGTACAGACCTTGTTCAGTTTCGAAGGATACCTTTTTCTTCCATTCTCTTACAAGCTTCCAAAGCAGAGTTATGTGAACTAATTAGCATGCTCACCCTCTCACTCTTACTGTGATTCTTACACGCGAACAATCATCCCGCTAAACTAATCGTATCTCGTATCATAAATTGCCCACTGACTTCATTTAGAGGCTCAAGCATAACGACGCTGACTTGATGCTTTGTTTCCCCACCTTTCTCATGGTGCAGTTTTCCATGCACCAACGTGCAGGCAAGCCCATAGTCGTTGCATTTGATTTGTTATGATTGTTAACTATTAGGTGTTTCAGAAAGTTCTGTCGTTTTCTGACACTCCACTTTTGGATGCTTTATTTCCCTTGAAATCTGGGAAAGCTGCAATTGATGTTGATATCATTTTGAAGAGCTTTTCCAGCTCTATCCAATGCTCAGCTTGTCCTAACAAATTTCTTTTTTTTTTTTCTTTACCAGATTAGTCCCCCGTCAACCGCCGGGACCTTCCTTTCCTGCGCAAGCTTTCTATCCTCCGCTATGGTCCCTTCCTCCTGTGACACCAACACCTCTGGAAGTGACGCGTATGCAACACAATGGTGTTTCATAAACAGAAGGGACACAATCATGATATGACGGTAGATTTTTCGCTTCCCTTCCTCATCCTCCCTTCTCTCCACTGCCCTCCAGCTGCCACTGCAGCACCATGTGGAATGAACGGAAGTGTGCTAAGCAGGTGTTTATATAGCCCTAAGAGTGTTATCACAACTATCCTGCTACAAAACATTGATATCTCAAATCCTGTAAGCTACCCGATTTGTTAGCGGTTTGTTTATCCCATGAGCTTCCTTCTCACTCACTTCATTTTGCGGACGGACACACATACATACACACACACAGATACACAAACCGACACACAAAGTTAGCGCTTTATAAAATAGAAGGATTTATAGCTTTTAAAGCTTTGAATGCGGTATACTCGATGAGCAAGTTGGCATGACTTTCTTTTTCTAGCTTTAAATAGACCTGAAAGTGGCGGGAACAGTTCAAGATATTAACGATGCTTTGGGCCTAGATTTGCAATAAATGTGCTCAGAAGCAGTAGTTAAAAATTGTTAACATCCACCCAGACCAAGCACTTAATCGGGAAAACTGGCGACAGCACGTCAGAAAACGCCAACAAGCGAGACATACGCTGCAGAAAAATAAGAAGAAGCAGTAGTTAAAAAATTTATTGTAAGGAAGGCGAGAGCCTTGAATATGATGAGAGTAGTGGTCGGACATCGGACGGGTGTCTCCGATTAGCCAAAAGTTCTGATTGAAGCACTTGTGCGTAAGACCATAGAGGAGGTTCTGCCCAACCTGGGCGTATATGGTTTGTACAGCCAAGCTATACGGAAGAAGCTGGAAAGTCCAAAAAATTTGATAGGGGCGTGCCGCGACAAATCACCAATTTGAAGGGTCGTCCATCAAATTGTCGCTTGTTTTATGTGATAAAGCGACTCGTTTCTCTACAGATTTGCGACGTACAATAAAGAGCGGATTCTTCTCTATAGTCTACGAAGGTTTGCTGAATAGATCGACGGCGATGAAGCTCTACAAACTTTGCAGAATTTAAACTGTGCTGGAGGAGGGTTGTGGCAGCTTTCATGGGGCCAGCGGCTGGCCATGTTCTTCAGTATCAGATGGAACTGTTACAGTGGAGAATCAATCTTTATACTAATTCAAAAATCATCAAAAACTCTAGGACATGGGTCCAGCATTCCTCATTATAAAGGAACACACACATCCCTGAAAGGTGTCTTGAACGCACATCGCACGGCCAA